ACAAAACTTTTACATGCTGCAAGTATGAAGACTGTTGAATATCTTAGTTTTTGTTAAATACAAACTTTTACATGCTGCAACTATGAAGACTGTTGAATATTTTAGTTTTTGTTAAATACAAACTTTTACATGCTGCAACTATGAAGACTGTTGAATATCTTAGTTTTTGTTAAATACAAACTTTTACATGCTGCAAGTATGATGACTGTTGAATATTTTAGTTTTTGCTAAATACAAAAGTTTTACATGCTGCAAGTATGATGACTGTTGAATATTTTAGTTTTTGCTAAATACAAAACTTTTACATGCTGCAACTATGATGACTGTTGAATATTTTAGTTTTTGCTAAATACAAAACTTTTACATGCTGCAAGTATGAAGACTGTTGAATATTTTAGTTTTTGTTAAATACAAAACTTTTACATGCTGCAACTATGAAGACTGTTGAATATCTTAGTTTTTACTAAATACAAAAGTTTTACATGCTGCAAGTATGAAGACTGTTGAATATTTTAGTTTTTACTAAATACAACATTTTTACATGCTGCAACTATGAAGACTGTTAAATATTTTAGTTTTTTCTATTACGAAATGAATAGAGAAAAGACAATTCGAACCTTCAATTATTTTATTAACACCAAACACCTCCAAACTCACGAACCTGTAGACTGGACTTACACGTCTAGGAAGGCTAACACAATGAGCAGTTTACAAAAGCAAAGTCAAAAAGTTTAGCTGCCCCTGTATTAGCGGTTAAACTGAACAGTGGTTAGGTTAAAAATGCCCATTTTTATAATTTCACGAAAAGGTTTCTCTCAAGAATTCTTTAAAACCTCAGTTGTAATACAACTATTAAAAGTTGGCCTCAGAAAAAAAAAATGTTGGCGACATAGAGATGTTTACGATTAGACATTAATTTGCCACATATATTGTAATAAAGTAAATTTGTAAATGATAAAAACCAAAGAAACGCGAATGAGGGCTAGTTACAGTTGTGCAAATAACATGAAAGACATTAACAGCGATAGCAATCAATATCCAAAGACTCTTCAAAAACAGCAAGTTCTATGATTATAATTACAGTCCAGGTTGACAACGGATAAAAGTAACATTTACTAAATGTGATAATCACATACAACGTTAGCATTTGAAAATGAACATGGTACTGATTTGTTGGTTTTGCTCAAACACTAATATCGTTTACGAATTTTACTATATACAATACAAATAGAATTCATTTAGCTCTAAGCATTGAACAAAACCCTTTTTTTTTCTATATTGGGGTATTCTTGAAGATTTGGTACACCTTTTATCGTATACCAGATCTAGAATATTTTATTTATATAGATCGACAATTGGCTTCATCTGTACAGCAAATGGTCACAATATATTTTACTTCCATGTTCACGAGATCAAGCAGTAAATACCTTATGATAGCAGTTGCTACTTTACATACAAAGTTATCCCTTTATTTTACAGGATCACTGTTTACATCTAACTCTACAAACACAAAAAAAGATTAAGAAAAACGACATCCCAGATGTTTCATTTTCGAAAGTTGAACCACCTCGTGGAAATTGATTACACTCCTCGCCAAAGAAAATTGTCATGACATCATTGACTTCTCTAATCTACGGTAGTGTAGACTGTATGCACTGATTACAACAACACGATAAACACGCGTGTTAAGAACAAATATATATCGTACATCCATGGGTACGATGTCTTGATGAAGTAACCTTAGATCTGGTCAATGTTTAAGAAAAGTTATTGCCACTGCCACTTTGTCAACAGTCCCTGTAAGTCAGACTTTGCTAGAGTTTCTGCAGGCAATAATTATAATCCAAAACTAAATTATAGTCTGAACATTTTACTCTCATCAAACACATTTATTTCATCTCTTGCCTCTCCCGTTTCACTAGTCAAATGAGCTCTTTTTCTGTTAGTTTATTTTTAATCATTTGATCACGTGTAAACCTCAGTTGAATAATTGTAATAATTAATGTTTTAAAAACAATATTACAACAAATAGTTCAACCCTATAATTGTAAAGTAAATTATTGATTAATATGTAAAATATAATTTCAAATAGAAATAATACCCTTTTTCCTATGGTACGTATTTTGTATTTCAAGCACTAAATCACACTCGCCCATATATCTTTTACTCTCTCTCATATACTCATACATTCATACTATATTTCTTCATTTAATTAGAATATTTGATTTCGTTTTTAAAAATTGTGTTCTAACGACGTCTTGCTTACAATCACGGTAACAGTGTGATAAGCTCGCATAAAATATTATGCAGCAGTAACTAAATCAAACTACAAAACTGAGTTGTAAAATTCTAAGAAAGACCTCTGCACAAAGGCTTTGTGGCGTTTCTAATAACAAAAATATACAATTGAACATATGGCATTTACAAGAATCTCTAACGAATTTAAAACTTCCTCTTCCCTAATCTGGTAAATGAGTAGAATGTACAACATTATGGACTCGGAAATTCGGAGTCCGAATCTCCAACTACGAGGGAAGAGCTTGTGACATGTGTACCCTGCTTCTGTCTAGTAGTGCTCTGCTGAGTGGGCAGCAGAGCTTCAGGCTTATTAGATTCTTTTTTCTCCTTTTCTTCATTCTTCTTCTGTGGCTGCTCATCTTCAGATTTCTGGGAATCATCTCGCTGTTTTAATTTTCCCTCCAGCCTCGCCTGTTCGTTGATTTCCTTGACAGCCCGGATCTCTTTCTTCAATTTCATCCTCCGATTCTGGAACCAGATCTTGATTTGCCGCTCTGTAAGACATAGGGCATGGGCAATCTCTATTCTTCGTCGCCTAGTCAGGTAGTGGTTGAAATGGAACTCCTTTTCAAGTTCCAACGTCTGAAAGCGAGTATAGGTTTGACGTCCTCTTCGACGTGGACACCCATTTGGACCTAGAGGATAAATACATTCCAGCCTGTTAGTAAATATAATCTAAAACAGAATAACTTATATGTTCAGTAGTGTTCCGTTAGGATACGTCGCAATATATATGAAAAAAAAACTAACATTTTTTAGATTACCCGTGAATTCCAAGGCTTAAATTCGACATTCATCCCATAAACCCTACTTAGTGTTCAAATCCAGCAAGCATAATTGCTCTAGCTCAAGTCACGCACTAACGTACTTTCACAACTGTTAAATATCTAACAAAAACTTGGCACCTGTCCAAATCAGGAATATCTTACTTATATACTCCATTAACAAGCAATTTGCAGAGAGACAAGCGAGCTCATTATGACGGTTATCAAGGTGCAACTTTATTTCAAAGAAGTACAAGTGATGTTTGTCTCTGTAAATACATGTTAATAAAATCTGATAGGGATACGTTCTTCCGACACTTTTATAAAAGCTCACCAGGCTTGTAAACTGATTAGCTGTTTAATGGCATATTAAAAACAGCGAATTGCCCATCAAGGTTTCAGTCGGGAGAAGTAAACGTCAACACCAATTGCGTCACCGACGCTTCCTATAAAAATGGCCTTGCAAAGGACATTTCTTTTGGTTGCTGGCTTTATAGCGTGTTGACCATCAAGCAACCACCATCAATTTTTACGAACAAGTTATCAATCACACAGACGCTGCGACTTCACATTTTAATATCCATAAGACAGCGACCTTGATGTCAACAACAAGAACTTGTCGGCATTTCTCGACTGTATCGAGTGACGAAAGTTGAGGCTAATTTTAAAACAAAGGACTTTTAATTTTGTTATTTACCGATCCCATCTTACATACTTTGGCCTTCCTTTATTCGTACTGCTAATTCTGGTTTCGTGGTTTATATTACTTTGCAATGTGGTTACAGTTCCAATAAATGGCTCAAAGTTTATATCTTATGGTTACAAACAGCGGGTAAGATTAAGAACATCCTGGACTCTGTGTGAATATATTCAGCCAGGAATAGAACAATTTGTGTGTGGATGTAATTTGTAAGTACTTTTTTTTTATACGACAAACAGCGGGTAAGATTTAGCACATCCTGGACTCTGTGTGAATATATTCAGCCAGGAATAGAACAATTTGTGTGTGGGTGTAATTTGTAAGTACTTTTTTTTATACGAAAATGCTGATAATATCAACTTCACCTAGAATTTTTCTAGAATTTTATATGAAGTGTTTGGTATTTTCTTCAATGCATTGCCTAGTGAACAATGTTACAATGCCTCCTCAGAAGTAATTTTTAAGTAAATAATTTTAAAATCGTTTGCTAAAAAAAATACCCCAAGACATATATATATATATAAATAGATTAGACACATGCACTGATGCGCTCTGCGTACTAAATATTGACATGTTATAAAGTACATATTATGATATACAAGTTTAGACTAAGGATGTAGAATTGTTCTAAAAAAATGTTACAATTTTGACAATATACTTTCTCTCACCATAGGCTTCTTTCAGTTCAGATAAAATTAGCAAATAATATGAATGATTTAATTTTGTGGGACAGCGGTAAGTTTACGGACTTATAACGCTAAAATCCGGGGTTTAATTTCTCACAGTGGACACAACAGATAGCCCAATCTTGCTTTGTATTCAAAACAAACAAAGATGAATAAAATACGAGAAAAATACTAAATATTCAATGTCTTTCAGTTTGGTACTTTTTTCAGATACGAAGTAGCTTTATGAATTTTTCAGTGTTCCAAATAAACAAGCTTGTTCATCTGAATATCACTCATAAAAACTTCAAACTTTCTAGGCAAGTCATCACTTTCCAGTTCACGAAGCTTAATTAATTCATCAGCTTTTCTATACTCTAGAGTCCGCATTGAACTTATTTCTCTATCAGTTGACACAACATGTATATTCCATGTATGTTTGTGATAGCAGAAGCAAAAGTTACTGACACTTCCCGTTAAACCTGATTGTTAGATTATCTGATAGTTAACATTCTGAAAAATGTTTGATTAATACTCACCAAAAATCTTATCTACTATATGTTAATGATGATAAATTTTGCTTTTCTAGGAACTTAATATAAATCCATGAATGATTCTTCTTATGCATTAAAACGAACGAATAACCTCAGTCATAACCTCTCACCACCCACAGTAATTATTCCGCCACGTTTGAAAAAATACACAAGCACTGTAGATCAAAAACAAGAAATCAGAGATTCATTCTGACATTCTAATAGAATTTATGCTCGATCTAACACTGACTGCTGTAAACGTTGATAATTTAGGGACCATTTATTAGCGGTTGTAAAATGTTCTCTCTCTTTGCTCGATTTTGGTTGGACAGACCGGGTCACATGACACTTCTAAATGACAATGGTTATTTTCTAGGAAAGCTAGCCTTGCCCATCGTCTTGTTCTCGTAATGTTATTTGATTCTGAGTTACAATGATGATCGGAAAATAACCCACACAAAAATAACTGAATATTAATATATTATTTTGATCTGGTTCTTCGAATACATCACAAGGATATCTATCTCCAAAGCCAATGTATGATCCTACGCTGGAAAAAGATTACGAAGGTATAGTTGTTGGTTTCTTTATCATTGTTATGATATTTATTATTTTTATTAAGAGATATATGTACTTAGAATAAGGTATGCTTTAAAAATGTAAAAATGGTAGTTTTGTTTTTATTTTTGATTTCATATTTAACAACGAACCAATCAACAATATGTATATTAGTTCGCAGTATTTTTAACCAAGTACAACATGGATGCACTTTTCGCAAAATAGATGCGTAACGCAATTTATTATTAAGGATATATAGAACACATGTAATCATCGGTAAATTTCTCCAGTGCCTGGTATACTTTAACCATAAACACATATTATAAAACTGAATACTTCAAGTAGCGTAGCGATGTTAGGAACCAATCTATGTATAAATTTCGCTCTTACGAATTAACGAAAAGAAGAAACTTAATAAAGCCACGTTGTTTATTATATACTTACATAATGTCCCAACATTACTCAGGTATTATCTACTCAAGCTAGAGTTCATAAATATGCTTGAAGTAATATTAGAATGTTTGATTCAAGTTATTCACCGAGAATGGATATAGCTAAATGAATAAAGCCACGTTGTTTATTATATATATATTTACATATAGTTCCAACATTGCCCAGGTATTATCTGCTCAAGCTAGAGTTCATAAAAAGACTTAGGTTAATACTAGAATCTTTGATTCGAATGGTTCCCAGGCAATAATAATAATAGCTTACAGAGCAAAGTCACGTGGTTTATTACGGTTCCGACACTACAAATATAGGTATATATATATATGAAGTTTTGAAAAGGCTATTTGCGGGATAATATACATATTTCTATACAACGTTCCGTCTCTAATAGTGATACATGAGATAGGCATATCTTTTCAAGTTAGAATTCACCAAAACGCCTAAAGTAATACTATAATGTTTGATTCGAATTAATCTCCGGGAATAGTAACAGCTAAAATCTATTTCAAAACGATTTTCGAAAAAGAATTAACTTTTAAGTATGAAAAGAAAAGAATCAGGGCATGTAATAAATATGTCTCTCTCTTTTTTTTATAGATGAATGATCTTTAACGGATGATAGCAACAGCAAAACAAATGTTGCTATTCTCATTGAAAAAATATGATTACTATTTATTCATGAATTAATCGAAACTATTAAGAGTAGCGAAAATGAAAAGCTTGGAAGGAAATATGCATCATAGTAAGTACTGTATGCCGTTTCAATTAAATCTTCTTAATTTCCTTAATATGACTATAAATGCCTGGCTTTAAGCTGTAGATGACACACGCACACTAGCAGCAGATTTAAAGAAATCTGGCCTTACAAGCTGTAGATGACACACGCACACTAGCAGCAGATTTAAAGAAATCTGGCCTTACAAGCTGTAAATGATACACGCACACTAGCAGCAGATTTAAAGAAATCTGGCCTTACAAGCTGTAAATGATACACGCACACTAGTAACAGATTTAAAGAAATCTGGCCTTACAAGCTGTAGATGACACACGCACACTAGCAGCAGATTTAAAGAAATCTGGCCTTCCAAGCTGTAGATAACACACGCACACTAGCAGCAGACTTAAAGAAATCTGGTTTTCCAAGCTGTAGATGATACACGCACACTAGTAACAGATTTAAAGAAATCTGGCCTTACAAGCTGTAAATGATACACGCACACTAGTAACAGATTTAAAGAAATCTGGTTTTCCAAGCTGTAGATGACACACGCACACTAGCAACAGATTTAAAGAAATCTGGTCTTCCAAGCTGTAGATGACACAGCTGTAGTTGTGCTCGTGTCTCAGACATTTTCTGTGTATTATTATAAACATGCATATGGTATTAATACAGAACAAGTAAACACCTAGTAAATCCAGGAGTTGTATATAGTGTTACTTGATTTATTGTAACCTAAAAAAGATAGTAATTTTCTGGTTATTAAAAAGTTTATATATGAATAGATTGTAAGGGATAATTAAGCAGACTACGTGTAGATTGGTAACATATATTTTCAATTGCTATAAATGTTTTACTGATGCTGAGATAGTGAAAGTGAATTCTAAGACCAAGTAGTGTTCTTTTTTTTTTATCTAAATCGAAACCACAACCAGTGGATCAACTAAACTGACACAAACAGCGCAGCTTTAAAATATTGTATAATATGAAGAGCTTAAATAAAGTCATTTGATTTAGAATCGAGGTTTATTCCCAAGCTGCGCAAAGTGATCAAATTCACTACATCTTCGTTGCTAAAGTTCAATAGTTTAACAAAGAAATACCATTCCTTCTGACGAATATAACCCCATAAGAAATTTTTTATTATGGAGAAACGCACACGTATATGTAAATATGGCCACGCAAAGTTTCGACCTTCTACTCAGATCATCATCAGGCAAAAGAAAATAACGATAATTTAACACCTTAGAGAATACAAGTTTAAAATAATGTTCTAATCACGTGAAGCAAGAACAACAATACAATTAACCAACAATATTATTGACTATTCACAAACATTATCTTTATACAAAATTAAGCAAAAAAGAATTAAAAAGTAAAGGTCTTATATCTCATTTCTTCGACCCCATATATTCTGTTTGTAAATAGTCAATAATGCTGTTGGTTAATTTTATTGTTGTACTTACTTCACGCGATTAGAAAATTATTTTAAACTTGTATTCTCTAATGTGTCAAATTATCGTTATTTTCTCTAGCCTGATGATGACCTAAGTAGAAGGACGAAACGTTGCATGGTCATTTTTATATATACGTGTGTATTTTTCCGTAATAAACATTTCACATGTTAGAAACAATGAAGTACGGTGTTTTTTGCGATTACATAAGAAATTTATATGCTGTAGATGTTTTCTCATATTAGTGCAAAACTACATAATGGGCTAACTGCATTCTCTCCACCTCGGGGATCCAAACTCCGGATTTTAGCACTGAAAGTCCTTAACCTTAACGCTGGTCCATCTAGAGACACATTTACGTGTTCATAATTCTAACCATACAAGCCAACAAATTACGGTAGATTCGTGTAGAAATTGAAGAATTGGCCAATGAACGGAGAGTTAATATGTACATATTTTTTTGAATTTTGAAATTCATGCCAATACACTTTTGGAAAAACGAGAATTCAATGTTTTTAGTGAGATATTGTGGACAAGGAAGAAAAATAGTATTCAGTATTTGTTATTAATTACGCTAGTAAAGCCAATCCAACAACTAGTAGAATATAAAGGTGTACAAATATATTTAATTTTTTGTGTTACAAAGGTGTGGTTTTTAAATAACTGGTATATGTGAATGTTCGAGGTTCTTCTTCGAATAAAATAGTGTTTTTCATTGTCGATAAAAAGTCTATTACGTATGGTTGCTAAATAGTACATTTGGGGTCAGGGGTCTTGCCTTTGCTTTGTTAACTAAGGCATGACACACTAACAAGCAAATTATATCATTTCATTTAACTTTTTCATGCGAAACGCTAAAAAAGAAAGACAAATAAACGAGATAAAACTAACTGTAAAACTACTAACGATATTAATACAAGTGTTAAATCCATCAACGACATTATAAAGGGTTTGAATAAAACGTCTAAAACAGGCAAAACATTCATGTGATATATTTTTTTTCAATCCTCTAAGGACGTAAACATACGCAGTTGTTGGTATTGAGCTTTTGAGCTTTAGAATTTTCGTAAATGAATTAATCTTTAGATGATTTAGTTGTCCACGAAGAACTCCTGATAAAGACCAGCTTAAAACACAGTATTAAAATTTTTAACGATTGGAATCCAATCTTGCTTTTGTGAGAGCTTAAGAAGAGCATATCACCATAACCTACTGATTAAGGACAGCATTAGTCTTACTATCGTTCATTTTCCTGGAATTGCACACCTACCAGTGTTTAATCGTAAATAACAAGACATGTTGTGGTGACCACGTAATAAATGATTCTTAGCTGTGTGAGGAGTGAAATCCAGTTTTTCTTCTATGGAAAAATAAAAGCATAGACACTCTCTTCGACGCTAACTTTGTTAGTCAGTAATAATACAAGTTGCAGTGTATTATCGACAGCCACAGACTTGATTCGAGACTTCTATGGGCCGCATGTGTTTTGGAAGTTTTGGGACGACATTTTGAGCAGCTACCGCAGATATTCGGCTGGTCCTGATGAAAACCTGCGCTGGTAGCTCGTAGTGTCGTCCAAAAACTTCTAAAGCCCAGAAGTCTCCTGTCGAGTAGAATCTTCTCTGTTTAAACTTTATATTAAATGATGTTTATGTTCATTATTAAACACAAAGCTACACAACGTTTCTAGCGGTATAAGTCCGCAGATATACCGCTGAACTTTATCTTCTAATGTATTTAAAAGCATGTGCAACAGGTATTTTCTTGCTACACTATTAATGATTTGTGTATATTTTTGTCTTCTAAATCGTCGTACGTTCTTGTTGACCATTGATAATTTATTTAAAGCTCTGTATATCACGGTGAATTACCTTTAAAGTTTGTTTCAACAGTCTTTAAGAACAATAAGTCGTTTGTTCTGGAGTAATAAAGCTTTTGTTCTAGAGCAATGAGTCGTTTTTGCTCTGTTTGAAGTAGAGGGAAGAAATAATTTACTTTGCAGGCAACAACAGTGTTCCACATTCAGTGAGGTAGATATTTTATCATACACTATACCTACTGTCTGTTAATCAATTTTTGTTCTTAGGAAATGTAAAGTATTTTCCAATATCACCTGTACACCATAGTTTTCACCAGAATATGTGCTTCTATGTGAGTAACAAAACCCAGCGGTACACTAACATTTCTGCTAGTAATTGAGTTGTGATACTGGCTAGGCCCCTTAATATGGTCGTCTACTATCGACTAGGTCTCTTAAGAAGGGTGTCTACTATAAACTAAACTCCATAAGATGGTGTCTATTAGCTAAGCTCCTTTAGAAGAGTGTCTACTATCAATTAAGTCAATTAAGACCTTCATTTCTAAACAGTTTTAATTATGCAACAAAAAT